TATGGGTGAACAGAGAAGCAATTGGAGATGCCCACCAATCCAAATGCTGCTTGAGGATCTCTGGGGAGCAGTCACAACCAGGGGGTTTTCCCTGATCTTAGAGATTCTACAAATTTGGCAGTTTTAGAGAGAGTGACTGATATAATGGTATGTGGGCAATTACAGAAAATCCTACCAAACAGGAAAGAGTTGGAAGTGACTGAGCAACCACAGCTTTGGCCAGTGATAAAGACAGAACCAGATTACAGGCTTCAATGACATAAAGTTTAGACTAATCTAATTTTCATTTACTGTACCTGTTGTAAGCATAGACTGATATTCTCACAGATCCCTTGTTTCTCAAATATTTGTACTTACAGAGCTTCCCTATGTGGGTGGCAAAAATCTAGATCACGTGATAAACAAAACCCTCTGCTGCCATCTAGTGGCCACCTAGATTTTTGCTGCCTGGATAGGTAGCCTTATGCATTGGGTGATAAACTACTTCTGAACTCAGAAGTACAAGTTTAAAAGTACAAATGTAATTTTAAAAACATTCATTTAAAAGTGTCAGGAACACGTGCAGTCCCCAAGCCCCCCCCCTTTTTTTTTTTGCAGTTCAGAGATTACAATCTGACCACAAAACTGAATTCAGGTAATACAGTTGTCAAACATTAGTAATGCAGTTTCTTGCCATTTTGAAGGTTTTCTTCTACAAAATGGAAAGCCATATTATTTGTTTGTTTGTTTGTCACATTTACAGTATATAGCCGCCAATCTCACACACAGTGATTCTGGACAGCATAATTGGCTTTAAATTATTTTAATGAAAATAAGGAAAATCCAAATTTCTCCTTATTTTATTTTAGCTGCTCATAGGTTCTTTGTTGAACTTTTTATTCCCATTGGGTGTTTGGCTTTATTTTTTTTCCCCCTAGTCTACAATACTATTTTAATTTGAACATGCTTCGAAATGCGAATGAATACTGGTCTATGAATGATTACTAAAACAAATCAAACAGGCAGTACAAGTGAGTGGTAATTCATTACTCTATTGTAACATAACAGCAGGTTATCAGAGTTCAGGTAGATTTAATTATAATTGATGGTTATCAATTCTGTTCTGTCTACTATGTATTCTGAAGTATTTAAGAAAAAAGGTCAACATATAGAAATAAAAAAAGACATGTAAGTCTTTAGCTTTGTAAATTGATGTAACAAATTTAACATGGTAGTGTTTAAAATACTAGATGTTTTCACTCATTAAACTGGCCACACATCACTTAACCCAGAGACTTTAGCCAAAAGTAAAGTACTGCCATTACTGTGCAGATTATTCAGTTATACTGCCTTTCAATGTGCCATTAGGCTAAATGGGTTCTCTGGGAGATCAACCCAATGTAACACATTTCATGATTAAGCACAACTAGAGAATATTCCACATTTTCATACAACTTGCAAAGCTTCTAGTCATTTAAAATCCTCCTATTCCATCTGTTTGGTTATCAGGC